AGCTTCTTTTAAATGTTGAGAAAACCAAGGTAATGCTCTTTTCTAAAGCTAAAAAGACACCAGAGCATGTTTTAGATATTGTAACTACACAAGGAACAAAACTTGAAGTGGTTACCTGTTACAAATACCTTGGTATCTGGCTTGATGATTGTCTCACTTTTAAACTTCATGTCAATAACCTGCTTAAAAAGCTGAGGGTTAGGCTAGGTTTCTTCTACAGGAACAAGTCCTGTTTCTCGCTTGAGGCCAGGAAAAGGCTAGTCACTGTGACCTTTTTACCTGTGCTGGACTATGGTGATTTGATGTATATGAATGCACCTGCCAATTGCCTGGTCAAGTTAGATGCTGCGTATCACAGTGCACTGAGATTTGTGACAAACTGTAAAGCATTAACCCATCACTGTACCCTGTATGCAAGGGCTGGTTTGCTTTCACTAACTGTACGGAGGCTCAGTCACTGGTACATTTTTATTTACAAAGCCATGTTAGGGAAACTTCCATCTTATATCTGCTCCCTGATCTCACGGAAAATTGTAAGTGGCTACTGCCTGAGATCGAATGCTGTAGTTTTATTAAATGTGCCAACTGCTAGGACTGTCTTAGGGAAGACAGCTTTTAGATGTGCAGCTCCTCTGTCTTGGAATAGTCTGCAACTGAAATGGAAACTGAACAATCTGGTGGCACTAAATGTTTTTAAAGCTCGGTTGGATGCTACTCAATCGGAAGCTGTTGGTACCTGTACATGTGGATAGTTATGTAAATTGTAATCCCTGTGATGATGATGTAAGATGTCCTGTTGTTGTTCTATTAATGTTTTTATGTTTCATGTGGAACCTACTTGAGCAGGTCTCCCTTGCAAAAGAGTTCAATGATCTCAATGAGATTTATCTGGATAAATAAAGGTTTAAAAAAAAAAAGAGATAGACAGCCCTCTTGCTTGCTCGCGGGAGTGTCAGCCTCACTTGCTGGCGGAGTCTGTCTACGCGCGCGTGAAAAGTTTCTGACACTTTGGGGCGGAGCCACTAGACTTTGATTGACAGCTGCCAGGAAGCCCGGAGTTGCCAGGTTTGATAAATGCCTGAACTACCAAGAGGACAACTTTACCATTCAATCTCGTCCAACTGATCTTGCAGCTGTCACTCCTCGGCTCTTGGTAGTTCAAGCATTTATCAAACCTGGCAACTCCGGGCTTCCTTGCAGCTGTCAATTAAAGTCCAGTGGCTCCGCCCCAAAGTGCCAGAAACTTTTCACGCACGTAGACAGACTCCGCGAGGCTGACCCCGCGAGGGTCATTTTATGCGCGTGTAAAAGCACATTTTCCGCTCGTGAGTAGCTTGTTTTGCGCACTAGAATATTGACCCAAATCTGACTCCATACATGGCACCACTCTCTTAACATGCTCTATTAACATGCTCAACAAACCCTAACGTTTCTTTTTTTAAAGTGTAGTATTATTTTTGGGGGAAATTGGCAGAGATGGTGATGTGTCCTCTTATTTCATCTCGTTGTGTGTCCTTGCAATGTTCACAGACTGAACCCACAGACAGTGGACCAGTGAACATTAATATTTAGAACATTTATGTTTGTCAGTCAAGGATCTCCAGAGAACAACTTTAGCCTCTGCTCATTCTGTTCATTAGTCAGCGTTAATTATTCTCCGTGCTCTTTGTACCGTCCTCTGGCAGCTGTGAAGACGCTCAGAGGAATATTGGAGAGGTTCACAGGCCTCTCTCTAATACAGCAAGAAATGTGTTGCCTTCCTCCCCCTCCTTCACTACGTGCATTTGTCATCAAAGCCCGACACAAGTGCTTTAAAGCAAGTACTGGTGGTGGGGGGGAGGTGTTGCCATGGCTACAAAGTCACCCTGTGGGCTCGGCCATCTATTGAGGTTTTCCTTTCTCCTTCTCTGGCGAGATGAAAATTCACGCGGCCAAACTGTCAGAGCCAAGCTTTTAAGACTTCAAAGCCAAGCAGAATCCACGGGAGCTCCGAGACCTTTGTCAGATGGCAATGTGCTTCATTCCTCAAGCCCTGTTGACATTCACAATTTGCCTGTCAGACCTTAGCAACAAGGACAATCACACTGCCGCAATTTTGAAAACACATACTCTCTCATGTGACTCTTAGGCTTGAGCACATGAAGCCATTACACAGAGAAAGAACTGAAATCTCCCTTAATTGAGCATTTGGTCCCAGTCAGAGGTCACGTTAACCGAATATTTTCCGTCTATGACCATTTTCTTTTAACAATGACGGAAAAATCTGAAAGCAGTCCGTCATTTTTACAGATTAGAACAAACTCAGAACAGCGCCAAAGCTCCCCCGCAGTGAGGCTCCAGTGTTATGCCGTGTTATTATGCATGCCCTCCAAAAAGGAGATGATACAGTGTGCGAAAAAGTACACGTCCCACCGTCCGGGACGTGTTATTTACAATATCGGACAAGTAGATCTGTCAATTGACTTGTCCGGCGGACAAGTGACGTTTATTGACAAATTATTGATACATTCAGTTTACAAATGGCAGAACTCATTCGCAAATTGTACGTGTCCGCCAATGTTCGTTTAGAAATGTTAGTTTCGGTTCTGCTTGTCGATTCCTAACGAAATGCATCTCGCGCTTTCTGTACAGTTACGGCCCCTACACACGGCGGCGTGCGTTACCGCTTGGCGGTGGGCGTGTCTGAAGCTTGGGGATTTTTTACGAACAACGCGACCAACAACCAATCACATGAATGCCCCCCCGGACATACAAAGCAAAGCATTCATACTACATCCATGCTGGCTAAATATACTGTCTATGCTTGCTAGCTGTCCATTCAAACAAAGTACACTGGATATAAACTCCCCAAACAGGCGAAAACCTACCAGTTTCACCCACTGTCTCTGCCACCTCCCCCATGCCTGGCTCCTCCGGTTTGTATCCCTGTATGTAAAGAGGGACTGGTCATATAGTACCGGGTGATTCCCTAACGCCACGATAATTTCCTCCTCCATTTTTTGACATGGGAAATAACTGCGGTCTGGCTCTCCCAACATACACGCGGTTTGATTGGCTAGCGCTTGTGCTGTCAGATTTGCATACGCGGGATTTGATTGGCTGACGCCTCCGTCGAGGCGGCAAAAGTAGAACATTGCTCTACTTTTGCAGCGAGCACCGCGAGAGAAGCTACGCTTTGCTCCCACAATGCAGTTCGGTGAATCGTGATGTCACCCCATTCAAAGTGAATGGGCAGAAGCGTTGAAGCGGCAACGCACGCCGCCGTGTGTAGGGGCCGTTAGACAGGGGCGGGGCGGAGCGGGGTGGGAAGTGTAGCACAGTGGCAGGGTTGGGAAGCAAAACTCGGTTCTGAGTAGGAACAAATAACAATTGTCCGGTACCGGGATTAATAAGAGTTGTGAGGACAGGAGGCGAGGCCGAGCCCCGCGGACTGCAGCTCTCTCATATGCTCCGTATCAGCTGATCGCTGCATGGTGCAGCTCAGTGTCTCTCTCTCTCTTTCTACACACAGCGGATCCGCTGCCCGTTTAACAGTCTCATCTTTGTCAAACTTTCTTATGTTCTTTCTCTAACACGTAATGAAGGTTATTAATCGTTTTAGCTCCTGTGTTGTTAATATTGACCGCCATTTCCTTTATGAAGTAAAGCAGCCTCCCTGTCTGTGTCCTCGCGCTGTCCTCACATCCCCGGACCCCCAGACTCGGAGCAGCGCAGGGATGTCAGTATTGTTTATGAAGCAGGGTATAGAAAGTAGCTACATTATTGAAATGAAAATACTATTTATTTACTTTTACAAACAGTGAGCAGCTGGGCAGCTGCAGCATGTGTATTGCAGGACATGTGTAAGAGTGCAAGCGTCTTTGAGTTGTAGAAAAGCGCTAGGCCTATAGGCTATACATATAATGTATTATTATTATTAGGTTATGTCCTATGTGTTGGACATGTGTGGTTGGACTCTGTCTCACAGGCAGGTTGCAGTGTAACATCAGAGGACACTGGGCCAATTGTACATTCTCAAACTGCACCACTTAGAACTAACTAAACAATATAGAGATTATTTTTATATAATTGTATTCAATAACCGTAAGAAATTAAACAGTATGAAGTGATTTGTAAATAGGAATACAGATTTGACTTAATGTTTTCATAAATATATTTTTCTCCCAGTTTGACTTATTTTTACCCTCTCAAAGAACCGGAATCGAGAACCGAAAATAACCGGAATCGAAAAACAGAACCAGAATCGTTAAAATCCAAACGATACCCAACCCTATGTGTGATGCAGTAAAATCTTACCGCTCACTTACGTTAGCGGTGTCGTAAAAACCATGGGAAAATGTAAAATACGATGACGAAGAAGAAGATTCCAATGGCCCCAATTTTTGTCCATTCTGGACAAGTGAACAATGTATTCGGACAAGTAAATTGCCAAACTCACTTGTCCATGGACAAGTACTCTCTAAAAACTTTTTCTCACACTGTGATATCGTTTCCAAACCTAACTTTGCCGTACAGATAATTGAAATGTCTGTGAGTGCTTTACGCTGTGGCGCGCTCCCGCGAGGTGCAGTGGGCGTGCATGACACCAGCGTTCACAAGCGCCACCCCCCCTGTCCCTGTCCCCCGTTGACAGTTCACGAACGTGCTCTCCCCCCCCCCCCCCCCCCCCCCCCCCCCCCCCCCCCCATAATGGATTGTGACGGAAATGTTACGATCCTGTCCGTCAAAAATGACGGGCAGCGAAAATCTCTAGCGCAACCTCTGGCCCCAGTACACTAAAGTGAGTCGATGCTCAGTGACAGGCATCCTAACAATCGTCTTTTATGTATTTTCTCATGTTGGGATCCAACCCATCGCCTGACTCAGACAAAGGCCCCAAGATGCTGCCTATTTTTAGGCTAACTACGAGGTGCAGGGCTCACGTCATGTTGATTCATCCAACATGGTTTGATAGTCTATGTACGTTCTTTGCTCACTGTAATGATTTTTTTTTCTTTCAGGTCACGGCTTCAAGTTCGGACCAATCATTGGCAAGCTCCTGTGTGAGCTCAGCCTGGGAGAAGTGCCCTCCTATGACATGTCACCTTTCCGAATCAGGCGCTTCCAGGGAAACACCAAATCAGCTTTATAGAGCTGGACCTGTGCCAGTGCAGCATAAACAGATCAAATGTAATTTTAGCTGGTAATTTAGCCCTACGTTTTTATACACAAAAACAAAATGACGCATTTCTGCTGCTTTTTGTGAAAAAATCAGTTTGTGTTTCCACCGCCGCATTGTGAAATCAGATGTGTAGCGCTAATGCAGCATGAAGGTCAGTGTGTTCATATGCAGTTAGGCAACTGTTTAACAGTCTGCAGCTTTTTGATGATTAAAAACAACTCTTGTGTCTGTATGCTGAATATAAAAATACAGCCAGAAAGTGGTTCTTAGCTTAAATTGGCATATACTGGAACACAGGAAAACACATAATGGAGCCTTGCTCTGTCAGAAAAAGTGGCTACCTGGTCTCCTCCTACCTCGTCGCTACTCAAGTGGCTGTCTTGTTACAGCTCTGATTCGGATACCAGCACTTTCACATGATTACTATAACACATTGGGTTTTATCGATCCATATACAAACTTACATTTGCAAACTAACATATTGGGGTTTTACACATAGTTACGTGCAGAAACTAGCAGAACACTTCATATCATTTTATACTTCTGTCTTTTCCTTGCATAAAACTCAGATACAACTTGTGAAGTAGTGACATTTAATGGGGCTGGGAGCTTTTTGAACAACAATATTTAAGCTTCTAGTAATTGCTGGTCAGTAACCACCTGGATGCTCTAGCAAAAACAAAAAAATATCTGAATTTTCAAGGGATTTTCCCGGCGATCTTCAGCATCCATTGGGACCATAGAGCATGCGCACTTGGGTTTCTCCTAAGCCCCCGCTTCCAATCTGGTGTGTCAGGGCCTTTAGACATTCAAAGAGTGATAGCAAATGACCAGTAGCTTCTCAAAATGTCCAATTTTAAAAGTGAGCTTTTGTATTTTTGTATATTTCACATTGTTTAAAAGTTTCCATGAAAAAAAGCTGGGCTATTTGAACAGAGCCGTCCCTCTCACTGCATGAAAATGTCTTCACTTTCCTGCGTAATATGGTTTCTCAGAGCTACTGGGTTCTATTGGGAAATGGACACCCATCAGTAGTAGGTTGTCACCAATGGCTGTCTACCTCAGCTACATATGGAGCTACAGCACTCACACATGGGGCGAAGCCTGCGAGCTAGTTCAGGCAGTCAACTTGAGCACTTATGCTGCATTCATACATAACGTCCCCTTGCCACTCTACAACCAACCAACCAGAGTCTCCTTAATACGCCGCTCTATTACCTGCCAGATCTCTCTCTATGCATTGCTTGCTGCTACTATTGCTGCAGCTACTTCCACATCGCTGTTGCTTGATTCTGACCAGAGGACCAACATCAACAACTACAGTCTAATATTGTTGTGCAATTGTAAATCCAGCCATCTGTGACAAATGATAATAAAACAAAAACTATAATCTTATTGGCTCGTATGATTTCATGAATCAGTGAACCTCCCTCTCGCTGCTTTCCCAGCATTCACCATTTTGCCAACTAAGTGCATGGTTAAAAAGACATCAGCCGTGGAGCCGCGTGTCTCTGTGATGCCAGCTGCGTGCTCAGGCTCTGGAGGTGGCCCTATTGCCTGGATCTATTTCCCCATGTACCGGTAAACATTTTAATCACTAATCAGACGGCATATTACAATGGATGCCAACCTCGGCCATCAGCGGGAATGGGAACATTATGCAGTGAAGCGGCAGAGATCAGTGAGCCAGTTGCTCCCTTGCTTCTAAGTGACTTCAGATGGATAGCACGGGGCCATTATGCAAATGATTAGAAATAGAAGTACATTAAACATGCAAATATTCAACCACCAATAATCACCAAGCAGGGCCAACTGAAACACCTGTGGAACATTATCTAGCTTGTAACATTCCTCAAAGCATAGAAAAAAGCCTACTTTATTCTGCACATGATTCTGTTAGCTGCATAATTGTAATGGAGCCCAGTCCACTTATTGCATTATGGGGCCAGACCAGGGCTCACACTGTACATCAGTAGCTAGTAGAGACCCTGAGGAGGGGACAATGTGTTGCAGGGGTCTCAAGTAAAATGGAACTTCTCTCAGAAAGCACAGGTTAGCATGAATACTTAGGAGAGAAAAGACAAGCCAGGAAAGGTGGTATCAATTTGAGAAGAGAATTGGATATTAAAGGTTGTATTAACCGTAACGGAAAAGGCCATTTGGATCATTGACAAAGAAATAAAAATGTTCATTAAATTTGACATGTAAATGTTTGTAAAAGTTGATAATGACACAGATGTTTGTATCAGGAGGGTATAGAGCACAACACAGAGCTAAAAGGAGAGTGAATATCTGACTTACATTCATCAGGTGGAGACAAATAGGACGCACATGTGTTTATTTCCTTTGCTTGTTGCACTGGCCGAAGGTTTAAAATGCAATGTATGAATAATCGTAATGCTTTAAGAACCAGACTGACATATTGCAGGGCCTAAAGACATTCCCAGGAAGCATGGCCATGTCAACACTGATTTGACAAAAATATGCCACATGCTTTCAGCATCTGTGAGTTTTGTCGAAGTTTATTAAAGATTACACTTTTATTCAACAACAAGATTCCCAAAACGCCCATGAATCATTTGTTTAAAAGATTTGTGGTGGTCTCACAACCTGAGAGCAAGTGTACTGGCACAGCGGACAGGATGTGGTCTTTTCAGATCTAAAGACTGTACATTTTAAAGATGTGCATTGTTCTTTAGAAAATAAATACTCATGTACATGTGTACTTGAAAGGTAAGATCCACTTTATGTTATTCATTTTTATTTTTATTAAACAACACTTTTTTTTATAAAATCCCAATTATACCAAGAATAATACAAGTCTTAATGATTGTACTAAGTGTTGAATTTGAATTTCCAAAAGAGTAAGAGCACAATTTAGATTTTTAGTTAGTGTAATTTCTTGGAAGTAAAGTTTGGTTTTGAGCATAATTAGTCAACTTGTTAGTAAATGTCCCCATGCATAAACATTCTTTACTGTTGCAGCTGGGTGATCAAATAAACACCAGATGTGGAGATGAGGTGTGGCAGCCCCCTACTCCAACCCCTTCTTGTATAAAACCCTGTGCCCTCATGGCTCTAAAAGTTGTCCCAGAGGCAGTGAAGAAGCTTCTCTCACAATGTTTCAGTGACTGATGGCTGATGGGAGAGAGAAAAACACACAGAGACTGAGAATGGCAGCAGAAGTCTTTTCCACTTGGCCAAGCTCACAGAGCAGTGTCCCAACTGTTCTCTCTCTCTCAGCAAATCTACCTCTGTGTCACGGAGGTTTCAGATCCAGATCAGAAGTGACATTTCTCAGAGTGCAACAAGTCGATGCAGTGATGAATATTAACATGGCAGAGTAACATGGAGGTGAGTCTGTGATGCTTGTATTTAAATAATGTTACATATACATTCAACAAATTGTAGACCTTTAGAGTGGTGCCGTTATGGGAAGATTTGTAGGAGGTCCCTCGAGAAAATTAATATTTTTAGTTGGATTTTGGAATATTTCAGAAAACAGCATTAAAGCAATTGCCAGAGGTAAATAACTTTACGGCGCTACCGCTAAGCTAAAGGTAGCTTATATCTAGCATGATGACGTTTAGTCTCATTTAGTCACCGTTACCAATGGGTGTTTTGAACGCACTTTAAGACGTTCACTAGTGGGGTTAACCGTCATACTTTTTATGTCGTAGAACAAACAAATCTCGTAAGCTTGTGTGAACCGCAGATGGAGTCTTTTTTAGACCTGTGAGGTGTTTTAAAAGATGAATTCCTTCACTAGGAAGCAATGGGTTTTGAGCTCAAAGACACAGACTAACATTCATGTTTTTGATTTCGAAACAGTGAACACACAAGAAACAAGATAGAAGATTCACTGTATTCGGAAACACTGTCATCACTTCTGTGATTTATATCAAATCACTTTTTAAAAAAAAACACTTTAGTTTTCTTTGGGCAACGAGGAAATGTATTTTATTATAGAGTTTCAAATGTTTCTCAGCACACTTAAACAAGAAGTACATATCAGAATCAATTCTAATCAGATCCCAAAAAATGTACACCAGGGGAAATTGGACAGTAGCTTCATATTAGAATGAAATAAATAAAGATAAAAAGAAGAAACATATATGAAAACACGCTCGTTCTGACTTCCTGGATGTCAAAGGAGAGTGAAGCAAATGAATCTTCTCTTCGTTCAGTTTTCACACTGATCTTGTTTCATTAATTTGCTAACCTCTCAGTGCTCCTGCTAGGTTAGATGTCTCCTTCCTCTGCAGGTTATTGACCACTGTGGGGTGACCTGTGGCCCCCGGGGCCCAGCTGGAGGTGTTGTTTAGAGGTCCAGGTCACAGCCTCATGCACTCATGGTGCGGTGGGTGGTCAGGAGGACCGTTGAAGCAGAGCCTCAGAGCTGGAGAAGGCTGACCCGATGTCAGGGCTCCTCTCTGGGGGGGTGTAGGAGTGTTGCAGAGGCCTCGGAGCTGCAGCTGCCCTCTGAAGGTCGCCAGCAGCTCTCCGCATCACACAAGGGTGAGCTTATGTATACTATATTTATACATGTTTACATGTTACCATCAGCAGCCAAACAGCTCTTTTAAACTGTGCAATTCATCTTCAATATCTTATTTATACTAACACATCACTTTATACATTGTAAGATATGAAATATATTTAAGTTGTAATGTTTATATACATATTTTTCTTCTATTTAATATGGTCTTTAATGGACATTTTACTTGAACTTGCCTTACTTTTTATTAGTTTCATTATGTATCTTTTAAAAGGCGCTGGAGACAAGGCGTACCCCTCGTTAAGTCACCCTATGAGGAAGAATGACCAAAAGCCTCCATCTCCCGGCAGGCAGCAGGAGTATCAGCTCTGGGTCCGATGCCTCCTTCAGGGTTCCGGATCAGAGCGCCCTGCTGCATTCAGTGACCCCCAGCCTGCAGGGTGCCCTGTTCTCCATGGTCTCTTCCCTTCTGTTGAAAAATAACCACTATCCAGCGACTCGCCCTACCAAGCAGAAGACAGTTTAGAGGGGCTGTCAGACGTTTGCTTGACACAAGGTCAGAGGCAACGACTGCGAGTCAGCCAAAAAACAAGATGGACTGTCAGCCCGGGAGCCCGAGGGGAGAGAGGGGAACAGCAGCCACATTTGGAAGGGTAATGAGCTCCATTGCAAGGCAGCCAGCAGCAAACATCGAAGGCATTGCGTGTTTATACAGCATCTCCTTGTCACGGTCTCTCTGGGGGAAAGGTATCCCTGCCTTCACGCCATTTCTTCTTCCTTCCTTCATCAGAATATGTCTTCCCTCACCTCTCCCTTCCTGCCAGCAGAGATGGTCTGTGGTCTGCTAGAAGGCCAATTTCTATCATCCAGCTCATGAATACTGAATGGCCTCGAGTAGTTTTGATTAAGAAGGTACAAAGGTTGCAGACAGTAATCTGCAATCTTTCACAAGCCGGTGAGGGAGTTCTAGGAAAACAAGCCAGGAAGAAGAGGACTAAGATGGATTGGAATAATTTCATTTTTTAAACTAATTCAAACAGAGGAAGGCTGTGGCTGTTTAAAGAAGGGGAGTTTATTTTCCATTTCATTTCAGACAGAAGTGAAATATCAGATATTAACACCCGAGAGAAAAGCCTGAAATTGCCATTTTCACATCTAGGAAGTGCTGAGGCAGCACAGCAACTTCCTGATGCTGTCAGAGGGCTGGAGCTGAGCAGCTGCCTGCCTGCTGTTTCGGGATGTTTCCCCATAGCAGAGCCACAGTGAGGGAGAATCCACTCTCTCACCAGCTCCACAGATGATCTGACCTCGCCTCTGGTTGCGTCCCGCAGGCTTTTGCTTGTCAGAGGAACTACACTGCAGGCAGGGAGCCGCAGATGAAGAGCGAAACGTGTTTGACCCGTGAAGAGAAAACTGCATGACACCGCCCTCCCAACCCCCGATGCATTTTCCCATCTATGAAATGCGGGGAGGAGAAATCATCTGACAAAGGGTGCTTAATTAATTCCAAGTATAGAAGTGTAAATGAAGTAATAATTGTATTTCTTTTGAATAAATATGCCTGATGCCACTGCATTCAAATGAACTTATATCTATTGGAGTTCTGATGTTTGGACTTTTGTTCATTCATTCCTAACGCCTTTTGGGATAGGTCACAGTGTACAAGACCACCTCCTGCTGCAGCTGTTTGAGTTTAATTAATTACAGAAAAAAGCATGATGTTAATGTGATACATAATAGATCAATGTGGGATAAATAGAAGCTGAAGTGAATGAGAAGCCTTAAAGTTGCTTGCCACAGAAATACAAACTCCTCGCTCAATGTACTAAATACATTTATTATGTTTTTATTCTCATTATCGTGGATTAAACTTCTATATTTTGGTGGGGATTTTATC